CATCGCCATTACAATTTCAACCCCAAAGTATCAATCTTTTCCATAAATTTCACTACTGCTCTTGAGAACCCAGATTTTTTAATATTTACAATAACCTTTACTTTCTAATATCTTCTAATATTGAAAAGTACAATACTCATTACTGCCACAGAAGTTCGACCTGTGACATAATCTTCAAAATGTTCGTTCAAGGTCCCAAAAGAAGAGCTTATTTTGTGAGCTGAAGCTGATAATTTCAAACCTAGGCGCATCACTTTAACCATTACTGCTCCTACAGATGACGATGCAGATCTCATATCTCTCGAAATACCTCAAGACACTACGGTGGGCACTTTGAAGGAATCCGTCCAAGCCGAATCTCGCATCCCCAAGAGAGATCAACACCTATACCACAATGGGCAACTACTACACGATGACAATAAGACCATGGAGCAATTACAGATTGGTGATGGAGAGATGCTTGCTTTACATGTTAGGGAATACAGAGATCCTCCTGCTGCCACCGCACAACGAACTTCACAACCTGCTCGCGCATCTCAAGGAAGAGGAGGCCAACAACAGCCAGACCCAGAGACAATTAGATTGCAATTGATAGGCAATGCGGAAATGAGACGAGAGGTCGCTCGTCAAAATCCTGAATTAGCGGCTGCTGCTGATAGCCCAGAGCGATTTGCAGCAGTACTGAACCAAATGCGAAGCCGGGAAGCAAGTGAGGAGGCTAGACGGAGACAGCAGATTGCGGATCTGAATGCCGATCCTTTTGATGTTGATGCGCAAATGAGGATTGCAGAGATGATCCGTGAGCAACGAGTGCAGGAGAATTTGCAAAATGCTATTGAGCATAATCCCGAAGGTAGACATGAGGTACCCCATTCTATCTGCGTCAAGCTTCTAATTTGATCAATCAATAGTATTCGGTCGTGTTCATATGTTATACATCGACGTCGAGGTCAACGGACATAAAGTCAAAGCATTCGTCGATTCCGGTGCCCAAGCTACCATCATGTCTCCCAAGTGTGCTGAAGATTGTGGTATAATGCGACTGGTCGACAAACGTTTCGCAGGTATCGCACGTGGAGTTGGTACCGCCGCTATTCTTGGCCGAGTCCACTCCGCGCAGATTAAGATCGGAAGTATGTTTCTTCCTTGCAGCTTCACAGTGATGGAAGGCAAAGATGTCGATTTACTTTTGGGCTTGGACATGTTAAAGAGACATCAAGCTTGTATAGATTTGTCCAAGGATAAACTCATCATTCAGGGCGTCGAGGTTAGCTTTTTGGGAGAGGCAGATATTCCTAAGAATATGGAGGATGAGAGGGCAGAGGAACCACAACTTGAGGGACCAGGAGGAACAACCATTGGAGCAAAATCTGGAGCAGTTTCAGGGCCCTCGACAGGACAACAAGCATCCCAGAGCGCATCATCAGCACCAGCTGCTTCTGCTCCATTGGCCTCACCACAGCAGCAACAGCCGTCGTTTCCAGCAGAAAGTATAGATCAACTTGTAGCATTAGGATTCTCACGCGATGAAGCTGTTAATGCCTTGGCGGCTTGTGGGGGAGATGTTCAGTATGCGGCTGGTCTTCTGTTCCAAGGATAGGATGGGGTTGGGCTGGATTGGATGCGCTAGGTTATGATATAGTACAGAGTGCGCTCAAAGAATAATATGTTCAAAGGTCGGGCATGGCGTCACATAGCAAAAAGGAAAGAATGAGAGGCAGAAAGGAGCAAAGTCAGAGGACACAGGACTTGATCTTCTTGATGATGTGGTCTGATGATTAAATCTTAAATAGCACAACTGGCGTTAGCATAGCAGATGTGTGGTTTGATGCATATGATTGTTTCTTTATCGTATATCTGCTCGTTTGTGATTTGAATGTCTGCTCCTTTATTTGAGATTATGAAATGGGTGAATCTGGTCCCTGAGATAGTGCTAAGCATATGCTCATCAGTTTCATTGTAATTACAGTACGCTTCCCCCTCAAACTCATATCAACGTTCCCCCTATCTCAACTTATAAACACAAGGTTTGAGAACTGCCGCCTCGCTGGAAACAGGTACCTCCTCGGGCTCATCCAAAAACTTCGCCTTAGGCTTCTTCTTCCACGTCTCTCCTTCTGGCATACCCTTTGGCACTGGTACACACTTGCCCTTGATCGGCGTTGCCCCTTTAACAAAATGCATCTTGACAAACATCTTATTACTCAAATCTACCGATTTCTCGGTTTGCAAAACAAATCCTCGCTTCTTGAGGACCTCGACGAAAGCCGAAACGTCGGTTTCCTGCTTGTTGTCTTCATTGCCATCAACGTGTACCATGAGATCTGCCTCGTTTTCCTCATCATCGGCGGCTTTAATGGCTTTTTTGTTGATAGGTTGGTTCTTTTTGCGGTGGCCGACGCTGTGCTCGACGACTTTCTTGTTGTTTCCTCCTACGCGACCGAAGCGGGATTTGATTTCGGCGATCCAGAGTTCGCCTTTCCAGCGGAGAACGCGGAAGGCTTCTTCGATGAAATCGATCCAATTTGTTCCCATGAGCGCCAGACAGAAGATTGCAATATCGATACTTCCGTCTTCGAGAGGGAGATTCGCGATATCCGCGCGAGTGACGAGGGGACTGGGACTTTGGAGATCGAAACTGTGGATTTTGAGGCTGAGTTTCTTGAGATCTTTTTGGAGACCGGTAGAGAGAGCTGCGTCGCCGCATCCCAGATCAGCAATGCGACATGTACCGTCGGTTCTTGGTAATGGAGTGAGATCGGTCTTTTCTTGGGCGGGTTGCCCTCGCATATCTCGTCTGAGTTTACCGCGCTGGCGAATCTGGAGAGAGTATCCGTCGACGGGGTTTTCGGGCCAGACTTCTACTTGGCGGCGGAAACCTTCGTGGTACTCGGTGAACATTTCTGGATTTTGTTGAAAGGTAGCGAGGGATTCGGCGGATGGAGTGGTATATAAAGATTGATTGAGGTGACGGAAGCGGGCAGAGATGAGCTTTTGACGCATCGATGCTTGGAGTGGTGTTAATTTCGTAGCGGGCTTAGGAGGTTGAGGAGCTTTGGAGGTATCGTCTTTCGTCGATTGGTCATTGTCTGACGGTTTTGAGTCCATGTCTTTCTTGTCCTTCTTATTCTTCTTTTGTTTCTTTTCTTTTTTGGATTCCGAACCTTCTGTCGATTCATTGGACGCTTTTGCTGGTTTACTTTCATCCTCACCTGTGCTGGCTTCCTTGGCTACCTTCTCTTTTTTCTCTTTCGTTTCTCCATCCTTTTCGGCATTCTTTACTTTCTTCGCTTTTGGTTTTCCTTCAATGACCGATTCCCAAAGTTCCGACAAGTTCGCTGCGTTCACATCTGGATTCTTTGCGCGTTTGCGTTTCTTGCTTGATTTCGTCTCGGCAGGCGCTCCTTCTTCATCAGCCTTTGAAGCTGCAGCAACAGGCTCCGCTTTTTGAGTTTTTAACAGACTCGAAGAGACTGACCATCCTGGAACTGCGAACATTGCGATAAAATGACAATGCTTGCTTGATGTTGTGAGGATTGATAGTTGTGAGGTTGGAAAATAAGATAAATCCTAGACAAATAATTTTTTTCTCCTGCGATAAACTCGATAACGACGATAAATTTTGACCCCACATTTATGCTCTAGCTAGCGCATTCTTCTCTGGGGAGCTTATTAACCGAACCGAAGGATCATCGATTGGCCGAATCTCGATAAGCTATTATCTACTCTGTACCTACCTGTATAGGTATCTAGTAGGTACTTCTTTGTGGAGAATTTTGGTAAAGAATTGAACAAGGTTTGACTCGTTAGTTATTTTGGGTTTATTCGACCTCGATTATTTGCTTCTTTGGTCCAATAGTTTACGTGGACAGCGAGTGCTTGCTTTGCAGGTTGAGCCGATTCTCTTGTCTTAAGATGCGGTAATATCCGCTTGGTATGATACCCTTGTTTGGTGATATTTGCTTCTCTCGGGGACCTATGGGACTGGGTGATATTTTAGGTTATGATGGCGAATACATCTTAATCTGGAACCCTCCTTGTGTACAGTACTACTTTATGTAGAATGATCGCTGTAGGTCATAACGGGGTGATGAAACGGTCAGCTCCAGGTAGGAGACGGCCGAACCAATTTTCTCTGGGTCGGTAGAACAGGGGTTAGGTTCAGTAGTGTGGCATTGGGAAACATGGATACAAACCAAAAGATATGGGAATCACCAGCCTGTCATTCTTACAGTCGACCGAGAAAGCCATGAGAGGCTCCAAAATTTGATATTATTTCTTGCTTGTTATACAAGGGATTGTAACCGGATGTTCAAAGCCATAAAGCCTTCGGCGTCGTTTACAACCAAGGTCTAGATCGCTAGCTTCTCCGATGACCGAACCTTAGTTACATGCTTCTCCGTCGGAAATATGATCCTAGACAAGGATATCTAATTTGGCGCGGTAATAATATGGTAGATTTGGCAGGTTGATATAGAGCGGAGAGTCCAAGATTCCATCTCCGATGAAAAGTATCTCAGTACTGCGGAGTATGGAATGTCGCTGGCCACCTCTAACACGAGGGCAAGAATATAGTGAGTGTATGAATTACTAATTTTTATTTTATTTTATTGTGCTCTATTACGAGTAGAAAATACTACATGTCCACGCATAGGCAATCTTGTATAAGAGAAATCCAATAGACAGAGGGCAGCATTCCGCACCAACCCCTGACTAACACCTCATTCTCCTTTCTCACATCCGAATCTAAAAGATCAAGGTGGGTAGTGTTGCCAGTCTATTCGGGTGCCTAAGTTTGATGTCAAAGCCATTTTTCAATACCAGAAGCCCAACTTCATGGGATTTTCATAAGCTCAAGCCAATCGCTTCTTATCCCACGCAGCCTTGTAAATGAAAGACATTTTGAGTTTAGGGGGGATCTTCTCATCCGGCAAGCCACCAAAATTAGAACTGGCTACTCGAGTAGAGGTTCATACAGTAATCTCGAAAATATATCCACTTCAACATAAAGCCCGCTCTGTAGTGGTACGTTGAATTCCTACTTCCTTCTTACCTCCTAATTTGTCCATTTTTCCAGTTTGGATGAAGCTCGGTTCAACCAGAGGAAAGGTCCACCAAAAAAACAACAGCCGTGTTGCAGGGAACCGCGGACCAAAGTGAAGTGTGAATTTTGAGAAAAAGAGACTGGATGCTTCTTTTCCTTCAAACCTCTCTTTACTTTTGACGCCTTTTCTTCTACATCCATATTTGATCATCAACTTTGCTATCGCCATTACCATTACCATTACAATCATCGTCGCCATCGTTCCTGTCGTTGTTACCGCGCGCTCGTTGTCGCCATTGAATGATATCATTTAGATAATCGATAACATCTACCTTACCTAGCTGAGCAACCACATTTTACCTTGGAAGTTGAAATTCATCTCATTCAGCCCTTATCGATTTTGGGTTAATCCCACCTTTACGCACCCAAATACTGGTATCACAGCAGACGTCAACTGCATACACTATCAAACGTCAACGCATAACTAGCTATACTTCATTGGTCATGTCACATTTGAACTGAAGCTGCAAGTTACAATGATTCACATCCCTTAGGATACACAAATTGGTTATTATTGTTGATAATCCCTCGTGGTGGCAGTATCGCCATTGTCTCAATTTCATCGACCTGTTTGATCATTGTAGTATATATTATGGTCTCCCGAATTCACGGGTGAGCCTACTGAAAATTGACGTTTCCCGAGGTTACACGAGTACTACCATGATGGAATCATGAGGCCCGAGTATTGAATCGTCTACTTAAAGAGGGGAGATATAACTACGCTTGGTCCAATACCCACGGTCATTTCCAATATGAATCCAGAGAAATCGCAGGATCTTGAAAACGAGGAGGAAGAGGAAGAAGAAAGTCCCGCAGGTGTAAAACAATCTGGTGCCAAGGCTCAGGGTAGGAAGCGCACGAAAACGGGATGCTTAAGTGAGTCTAAGCCGCACCAAAGCTAGGTTTATTTTTTCAAAGGACTGACACTTCTATCCTGCTCTTAGCATGTAGAAAACGACGGATCAAGTGTGGTGAAGAAAAGCCAACATGTCAAAACTGTTCCAAATCCAAAAGGCACTGTGAGGGCTATATCCAGCGAGTTGTGTTCAAGGATCCTTTGAGTGCAACTCGGGGACCATTTGCCAATTCTTCCCAGACAACCTTCTCATCGGGATCTGGTCGGCCGAACCAGCGTCGTGTTGAGGCCCCAAAACCTTCTACTCTTACGCAAGTACAATTACCAAATCTTGCACCAAAACCAGGTGACTCGGGCACATACAATAGCCCTCCATCTAGACCCCCCAATGAGAAAAATCAAGGATTCGAACAAGGCATACACGTTTTTTCCGGTCGCGCGACTCAAGACTTAGTAGTCCAAAGGAACACTCCTCAAGAAACCCCGGAGGCAAAATCAGCCCAACGAGATACTGTGGATCGTTCATACCTACCAACTCCCGAACACAGATCCCCTCCAGGTTCTGGGCCTACTCACTATGATTTCAATGCTCTCTTTGAGCGACAATCACCGCTTGGAAATTTCCCCGTTATGCAGTCCAGTCACTCTCCATGGATTGTGAACCAGAATAATACACCCCATGCCTACCCTCAAAAACATACACAAAATACAAATCCACAATTTTCACTTCTCTCGCCACCTATGGTGACCACTCAGAGTAATCAAAGCTGGCACCAACCGGCCTTTTCTCACCCACCTAATTTGATTTCAAGTATGTCACATACCCCACTCACAAACCAAGCGACGCCGAATATAGAAACAGCATATACACCTCCCTTTGACATGACACAGCAGGTCAGTCATACATCGGATAGAACCTTTTCACATCACATGGTCTCAAGAGATACAGCCGATAATACCATCGACAAGAAGGACTATGCCACGGTTGACCAGGGAGATGAACGCACATTTGACGATGATGAAATGAGCCTGGATAATGATCAAGGAGCTGATGACTACGAAAATGATACTTTCAATGCTCAGAACATGGACTATGGCATTGGGCAAGTAATTGCCCTCCAAGCTCGACAGAATGCACAAGATCAAAGTCTTCGCTCCTTTACCTCGCTGCTCGATCGATCTAATATGCTATTGGCTTACCATCCCTCACTACGGTCATCTCCACTCAATGACAGTATGACGGCCAGAATATTTTGCCATTTTATCAATGTGACTGGACCGAGTATTTCAATGTTTGAGCGGAATCCGGCCAATCCTTCTTTGATATTCCGGGGGACGCCTGTGCCATCTTCTCAACAACATATCTGGACTTATACGTTTCCTATGCTTGCCTTGAAAAATGAAGCGCTTCTCCACGCAATACTCGCTTGCGCCAGCTTACACATTGCGAAATTGCAAAATACCCACATAACCGCATCTTTAAAGCACTACGCGATTGCTTTACGAAGGATTGCAAAGAGCGTATGCGTGCCCGGACGCCGAGAACATCCTGCTACTTTGGCTGCAACCATGTTGCTTGCGTTCTATGAGTGCTGGTGTGCTGATCATCAAAAATGGAGTAACCATCTGCTTGGGGGAAGGACCCTTGTGAGAGACATTGACTTCACTGGTATGACTCGTCATCTGAAGGACTTGCGGGCACAGCTGCGCCAAGAAGACCGTGCTCGCTATCGTCAGGAACAGATACATATGGGTAAAACATTTATTGAAGAAAAACGTAAATTCGCAGCCTCATTAGAAGATGTGGACGAAAATATTGTTGGAGTATTGATGGGCCGAAAACTTCGTTATGATGACTTTGGACGCATAATTGATGAAGTTTGGGAGAATACCGAAAACAGAATTTATAGCCCTAAGGATATTGAAACTTATGAAATGCAACGCGATCTTGTGTGGTGGTACTTCAAACAAGACGTTTACCAAAGTATATTAGGTGGAGGAAGGCTCTTCACTGAGTATGACCGATGGAGTCTTTGCCCTCCGCGTGCACCACTCGGTCGATTAGACGCAGTTTACGGCACTTTTGATCATCTCATTCTGTTGATGGGACGACTTGCAGATTTCGCTGCCAAAGACTTGAAGAGGAAAACGTTGGCCATGAAAGCTGCCAACAACCCTATGAGTAATCAAATGCCAAATTTTGCAGGCATGGTACCAAATATTAAGGAGCCAACTCTTCCTATGGGATTTTCACCAACGCATACTTCATCTCCTCAAAGCTCCGAGGGCGGAGATGTGGATCTTGAGGCTCAAAGGCTTGAGGCAGAGGAAGAGTGGCAGGATATCCGCAATGCATTCAGTGTACTTGAAGATCATTTTGGTGAAGACTTTCAACCTTTAGGCGACGAATTCTCGACCCCAACTCAAACTCCTTTTGGCCCAGCTTTGCAATACCGAACTTATGGTATTGCTGGCATATGGATGAATTATTACATGGGTCTTATCGCTTGTCACCGATCTCATCCCTCTATGCCGCCAGCAGCAATGGTAGCCGCAGGTATGGCGGCTCGTAAAACGGCGTTCTTTGCCAACGAGCTCGGTCGTATCGCTGCTGGCGTTGCACCGGATTTAAGCATGACACCCCAAGTCAATCCGGGAGTTGGGGCAGCACTTATGGAAAGCACAATCTGTCTTTTTTTGGCGGGCGTTCAAGTAAGTCTGTAATATATGAATACTGTAATCTTGTACTGATCATTTTGTAGTTCCAAAATCCGGACCAGCGGACGTGGGTGATATGCCGGCTTAACGATGTGGCTCGTTTGACGGGTTGGGAAACATCACTCGCTAGTATGTAACTTCTTCATTGTCTATGAATTTAATGTTTCTCTCTTTACTAATCTCTTTTAAGTTGCTTCCGGCTGCGAAACATCTTGGGTCAAGGCTGGAGAAATGGGAAGAGGTCCACCGTACACAAGGACGAGAGACGAGCGAGTAAGTCTACAAGTGGTGAATGTTACACGCAATGGGGAAAGAGTTGCAATGCAACAGCAGCAGGCAACTGATCAGGGATTCGTGATTAGTACTCATCAGAGAATTCATTATGCGATTGGTATTTTGGGCGTCCAAGATGATCTGAATAATCTTGACTTGAAATAATGATCAATCAGATCAAATGATGTTCACCATTTACAAAATTCGAAAGTTGAGACACAACTGAACGAAACGTCGCCTGAACGATAGATGTTTGCAAGCAAAGCTATCAATAAGACATGAATCCGAACTCGTCTAGAGTCACGTTAGAACAACACTAACGCCTGGTGTAACGACACAGTCAACAATGATATTGACTGTTATCACAAAAAATGATTGGGTAGCTCGTGTTCGAGCCTTGGGTATCCAATGTCTTTTAATCAGGCCATGAGTTCCAGATTGAAAGCTAGATTATGAATTGGGTTTGATCGAGTATTGGATTATGCCTTTTATTAGATGGGATTGTGTATGATACGGATCTTTGAATGAGATAAGCTCGTATAAGCCAAAGAGTTCCAGAAGGCATATTCATTCATAAACACAGATAACAATGCTGTAAGGATATCACGCAACACTGCGATTATATCCGGACCAATGTTTAAAAAATGATGGACGGAGGATTCAAGTGGTCAGATAGTGAATATTAAACCACTACATTTTTCTCTCATAAGACTCTATTCCTGGTCGAGTATTTTCAAGGAGAATCATGAGGCCCAATATGCTTCGAATTTAAGATGTTCTTGCTATCATCCAAATTCGAATTTGACAATGAAGTGGTCCTTGATGCTTCAAAAGATTTGTCGGGACCTCAAAATTCTGAAGTACATTTTGTCGCTTACATTGAACTTCGACAAGCACATGCTCTCTCACGTTGAGACGCCCCGGAAAGAACAATGTCTCACATTTCTAATTATTTATTTGGATTTTGAAGTCTCATAACTTTTTCATCGTTTAAATGTAGTGTCGAGGGGAAAATTTCATAGTTTGATTTCTGTAGCTTCGTGTAGTAACCTACAAGGAGTTCGAAGATCTAAGACGCATTCGTTGACAAAAATCAAGTTCGGAAATTATATCTCATACTAAAAAGCTGTACAGAAAGAAGGACTTCTTGAATAGTGTATTCTATCTCTTCTGATAGCCCAAGGGAAGGAAAGAAGATTCCTACGTCCTGAGATCTGGTAGGGTAAGTGCAAGAGACGAAATCATGTTTTTCAGTTTCCAAACTTAGAAGTGGATAATCAAATCGGCATCAGTTCTTATCGACTCATTACTCAATAGTATATCTCAACACTGAAGTAATGGCAGTCGCAGACAACGTGCTTGCTTTCTTTTTCATAGGTAGATAAGCACGGGGCACTTCGAGTAAACATATACATAATCACCTCATCTTTCCAAACCTCCGGATTCGCATTCTAGTTGTTCAACTGACAACCTAGCAATTATAAATATGTATTTCGGCAAAACTACTGGGAAAAAAAAGACTGGAGAGCATTCCTCTAGTCAGAATGAGATCCCTAATATTGCTCAGTGCTTAGCTGCCAATCGAAGCAAACGCGACAACGAGCACATAAATGCGATGACCTTTCAAGATGAATACTATCGGGACCGTCTACGAAATATTCAGGCCACCTACAAAGTTAAGCTAGATAGTTTCCCTGGTCTAGGTTACATTTCACGCATCAAACTGATCTGGGACCATGATCGTCTCTTGGGTACTTTCGAGTTGGACGTTTTCAAAGGTTCTTTGCTTATTGATCCTGGTCCTACCCAGGAGCACTTTAGGGCAGATATTGAATACTCAAAGTTCCACGAGGCACGAGCCAAAGATAAGGAATCGAGTGAAGAGTCTGGAGATGATAATGATACCGCAGATGATGGAGATGATGAGATTGCTACTACTCGAGAGTATCGTTTCAAATGGCGTGGTATAAATTCAAAGATCCCACATAAAACCTTCAACTCCTCCTTTACTGTCGGCAAGATTCGATTTGGCAATGGCAAGATTTGGGGATACTTTGAGGCAATGTCTGGTGTTGGGTTTCCAGGTGGTCGTTGTGAATTTCATGGCAAGATACCTCATGGTCCTTGTCTTGTGGATATGACGATTCAGCAGTTTCTTGATAAATGGAATGGTTATGCTGAGATTGAGGAGGATGAAGAGCCACGAACTCCTACTCCAAGATCTTTAACTGCAAGGTCACACACTGAACGTGATGGTGCTGGTTCAACACCTTCACCAAAGGGTGATACATCACAAGTTGAGGAATGGACAGAGGATGATCAACAGAATTTCATTGAAATGATCACGGGTATTTATGATATCACTAGTAAGGAGATAGAAGAGGATTGGTCGTCGAAGTCAAAGGGATTGATGGTTCGTCTTCACGTGGACCAGCAACAAGGAAAAGTGCTAGGATTTTTTGACATCGGCATAGTCGAAGGGTTCTTTTGTTTGGATGATAGAGTCGAAGGCCTCACGCACAACGATCCAATGGGGTTCACATGGTACGGCAAAGGAACATTCTCTGGATCATCTGAGAAAGGCACTGGTACGATAAGCATTCGAGCACGAGGAGGTAGAACAGTAGAAGGTATCTTTTGTGGCATGCCTGACAAGAATGATGGCGAGATTGATTTCCGTGGTACAAAGCGAGTTCTCCCATTAGGAGTTTCGGGTCGTGGTGCAGGCTATTATCGTGCGCAATGGGCAGAGTATTCACGTTTTGGACTGGATATTCCACAGTCAACTCCTAATAAAGGACGATGGGGAGTCAGAAAAGAGCTTGCTAAGAGAGTGAGTTGGAATCGCTCTGGTTCTGGTGATTCTGCTAAAGATAGTGGAGCACCGGAGAAAGCCTCTGGATGAAGAATGGTTTATGATGGTCTTTGACTATTCTTATGGATTATACTTATAGGGGATATGTTGGTATCAGCGAGATTTTTAGATCTTCGTATGCCTAGAGTAGAGTATTAGATGGAAAAGGTTAATCCAGGTTATCTATATACATTGTGTTTATCGTTTGTGATTGAATACCGTACATGTACAGAATGAATCTAGCCACAATCTTATATCCATCGTGCTGTATATATATGGTGATCTCATTTGAAACAAGATCTAGTACTCGGTGATATACTGAGAAAACACGATAGCAGTCAATATATTACAATTTCGAAAATGATACCAAATACTGAGCTTCTCGTCCAAATCCTTGTGCAAAAAGATCTTTTAACGTTACACGTGACCTTTTTCTCATTTTTGGAATATCTAAAAATCACCAAGGGCATTTCAATATTGCACCGATTAGGTATAGATAGTAGTAATAGTAGTCTGCACCAGCAGTTTCGCGAAATCTGTTTGAGAGTACTTGGTTTGAAAAGGATTCTTGTATTGGATATAGATATGCAGTGTGTATTTTAAGGAGAGGTAGAGGAAGAGGAGGAAGTGTTGTGCTGTGAGAGAGTTGTGAGTTGTGAGTGAGATGTGAAATGGGAGAAGGGAGAAGGGAGAAGGGAAAGCTTGTAAGTAATGTTTGGAAAGCTCCCCCCGCAGAAATATCTAGGTAGGTAGGGAGGGAGTAGCACGCACTTATTAGTCGGGAAGGAATGGATGGTATGGTATGGTGAGTGTGAGTGTGAGTGTGAGTGTGGTGTGATATTAGCTTACCTACATCGATCCAAGTCACCGAGTCTAGCGAATCGAAACTCCGTTGTTGATTATATGGGAGAGCCAGCGACTGTTTAACTATATATTTGTTGGGAAGTTGTACGAATCGAAGATATACTTGCTTGCTTAGGTTTGTAGGTATCTTGTCTTATCGATAGGATTTGATTTGATTTGGTTTGATTTGAGTTCCTTCATATACGCTATCCTCAACATCTTCAAAATCCTCAAAATCTCTACCTAACCTTACTAGGTATCCACATACAAAGATATTCTTGGATACTGACCCACGAGCCATGACCCACGAGCCAGTGTACGGAATATATGTAAATATAAAAAGAGACAAACGGACGGACAATTCCCAACCCCGAAGTGTAAACTAAGGATGCAGGAGATAGAGTATGGTATATACGAAGTACAGTATCTATGAAGTATGATGGTGGAGAATGTAGAAGATTATGGGCATGGGGCGACTTGGCGCGGCTGGCACGCGTATTTTGTACGATGGATGGATGGATGCGTGTGAGATTGTGAGTGAGAGATGTGGATGATGGGTGGATGGAGCTTGGTATGGCTATGGATGGAGTACACGTTTTTTGTAGATGGTGATGGGGATGGGGATGAATGGTGGGTGGATGATAGGTGGATGGATTGCGTATTTAGATGCAGAGGATTTTGTTTTTATTTTTGTTTTTGTTTTTGTTTTTATCTGCATCATACTCATTCATTGGGGAGGAAATTAGTTATGGGATTGTTGTGGGATTCTCATAGAGTGGGTTAGAGGTTAGTAGGGATTGCGCATGTGAGCTAAGGGGTGGATGAGGAGCATACGATTTGTTACTATGTATATCGACAGGCATAACACGAATGGATAGCTTCCTTGGGCTGGAGTGCGGGCTGGGTGTTTGGGGAAAGCTCGTATTGGATGGGCGAGGCCACTTTGAGGTGGTGATGTGCTATGCATGCAAGGCATTTGATGGGTTGAATACCTAGGTAGGTATCTAGCTAGTATCATGATGATTTGATTCGAGCTCACTGTACAAATTCCAGAGTGTGGTGATAGAAATACAAGAAGAGACTCGCGGCGTCCTCGAGTTCATGCAGGAAATTTCGAATAGGATTGACATGATTCATCCAATCAAAAAATTGATTAATGCAGATGAAACATACGTAACCGATTAAAGGGGCACTTGGTGTAGTGTCGTGTAGGTAGAGAGTAGAGAGTACTGTCATAATGAGTATTGTTGTGGTTCCGAAATCACGTCCACTGATTGTCATTTAGAAGATCAAACCTTGGAATCCCTCGTCGCTTTTCTTCATGAGAGGATGAAACCTCCTGTGTAAAATTACTTTTCGTTGTGGTTTCTCTAGTCTGTGGTTTCAACTTTCAAGGAGAATGTGGGTGATGATGACATCAATTTGGATGTTTATTAGAGGGATAGGGATAGGGATAGGGTATTAGCACGATAACCTAACTTTTCTTTTCTTTTTGTTGATTAACTTGAGATGTGTGAGATTGGATAGATAGATAGATAGATAGATAGATAGGTAGGTAGGTAGGTAGGTAGGTAGGTAGATACTGTAGTTATTAGTGACTTTGATAGTTATTAGATATGATATATAAGTTTGGAGATTATTTAGATTTAGATTCAGATTCACTTGATATTATTTGATATATCCCTAGGTAGATGCTCCGATCATTCCGTCATACCTGACATAGCATAGTTGTGAATTTTAATAAAGACTTGAACTGTAACATGGTTAGCGCCATAGATACGGAGTCAAAGTATTAGTATCATCTACTATCTAATTCAATCTTTTGATTCGAGTACCTTTGCCGTATATCAAACTTGGGATTTGGATATATACTAGATAGGTAGCTATATACCATATATTACCTCAATGTGCCATGCCATATTGTAAGATTATATATATCCTTCCGATCCACCATCCAAAAAAAACCTGTTAATAAAGTTTATATAAACCCAGCAAGCCAGTGATGCACTTTATACCTTAAAGCCTGCTAGCCCAGCCCCTCGACTAAAATGTCAAAGTGATAAACTTCTCGAACGGCCTTATCCACCCAAATCCCAATCCCTCACAACCCTCTCGACCCTCACGATCTTCTAGAGTTTCGCAAGCTTACGTTCTAGCTACATTGCCATTGGAAAATCGTAATATACACTTAACCAATCCACTTTAGTATCTTCTTCCTTTTCATGCTTCATGCTTCACGCTTCACGCTTCACTTGGATTTTATATATTATTCTGTTAATTGAAGCATTGATTCGATATACAATCGTGTATGATTCAAGCAAAAGGACTCGAGAAACAATAACAACTGTACTTGGTTTTGCCTCGACGGATTTGGATCAAATATACCCCAAGAACAACATCTTCGCACACACAATTCAAACAGAACAAAACAAAACGAGACAATACTAATAACTAACTTATTTGCGGTTGGCTTTACTCTCTGTCTGCGTTATTCCGAGCATATCCTCCCGTTCGAATTCACGCAATCTCAACATATAACTACGAAATCACTACGCAACCTGCTGGCGCGCATGATTCCTCAACAGTCAAGGAATATTAACCCTCTAATTTACCTCTACATGAAATCTCAACAATAACCACGAAACTTCGCCGAATAACTAATTTCTCAATTGTAAAGGAATATCCCTATTCGATTTACCCCCTCCAATACCGAATAAATTACAAAGATTTCTATAGAGCGACATACAAAAACCTCAAGTCTCCATATCCTTTCTCGGCGGATTTGCCGCCGACTCCTCCTCCGTTATGGATCAAGCCGGGCATGCTCTCCTGGCTGCGAACCTCATATATGCTCGAGAAAATACGACAAATGGCACAACCACGACAGATGCGGCGACCGAAGTGCGACCACCTATATATAAAGCTATTGGAATTTCATTGGCCGTGGCTTCAGGAGTATTCATCGGAATATCGTTTGTGTTGAAGAAGATTGGATTATTGAAAGCCAATGAGAAATATAATGAAGAAGCAGGAGAGGGGTATGCGTACCTCAAGAATGCCTTGTGGTGGTCTGGTATGACTCTCATGATTCTGGGAGAAATTTGCAATTTTGTGGCATATGCATTTGTTGATGCTATTTTGGTGACTCCGCTGGGCGCACTCAGTGTCGTCATTACCACGATCTTATCCGCCATTTTCCTCAAGGAACGACTGAGTATGGTTGGAAAGGTTGGATGTTTTCTCTGTATAGTTGGATCTGTGGTTATTGTTATGAATGCGCCAGCGGAAGCTTCGGCGGCGACAATTCAAGAAATGCAACATTTTGTGATTGCTCCGGGGTTTCTTAGTTACGCCGCTGTCATCATAATCGGCTGCACCTTTCTTGGATTTTGGGCTGGACCACGATATGGAAAGAAATCCATGCTTGTGTATTTGTCAATTTGTAGTTTGATTGGAGGACTTAGTGTTGTTGCGACACAAGGTTTGGGAGCTGCAATTGTTACTCAAATTGGTGGTACAAAACAGTACAATCAGTGGTTCTTGTACGTTTTATTCGTCTTCGTCATCTGCACACTTTTGACAGAGATCATTTATTTGAACAAAGCACTTAATATTTACAATGCGGCATTGGTAACTCCTACATACTATGTTATGTTTACGAGTTCTACCATTGTCACTTCGGCCATTTTATTTAGAGGGTTCAAAGGAACTCCAACCTCTATTATTACGGTTGTCATGGGATTTTTCGTTATTTGTTCTGGAGTCGTTCTTCTTCAATTATCGAAATCAGCCAAAGATGTTCCAGATGCTGCCATTTTCGCAGGTGACCTCGATCAAATGCGCATTATTGCCGAACAAGAACAACCAGAAACCGAACCAAAGGCAGATGCCATCAGAGGAACAGCAGCTATTGTTAGAAAATTCTCTTCAGCTCGACAAAAGATGGAAATGGAGGAAGCCAAGAGACTTCATGAAGAGTCTCACTTGGAACCACTTGGCGAAGATGAAATTGTTGAATGGGATGGTCTTCGAAGACGTAGAACGACAATTGGTTCGAACTATAGCGCGAGTATGAGATCTCGTGCTAATTCATCTGTTCCTCCTTTACCCGAACACCAGCAACCAACTCATAGGTCGACTCTTCCTAGAACACCTATTGCTCACCCACCTCTTGGTATGTCTCATTTCCCGGATCCAGAAGAAGATCGCGACGAAGAAGATCGTCCAGGTACCAGTCTTAGTTCTTCCATCTTTGGTACTATTCGCAATCGTGTAGCTCGTGGCAAATCTCTTTCTTCGGGCACAAATACTGTTGTCAACCTACAAAGTCCTACTCACCCCGTCCCCTTGACCGATATTCGTACCTACAGAGGTGGTGATGGCGATATTTACAAAAGCGAAAATAGTGATGAAGCTTACTACATTCATGATACTCATACTTTAGGTTTACCACCTGCTTTACGTGATCAGAAGACTGAGTATACTGGTTCGGGAGGTAAACATATCACAATTCAAGAAGATCTACACCGTCCACTGTCCAGAGCTAGTAATCTAGTTCCGCCAACACCCCCACCTCACTCTGCTAAGAGACAATTTTCATTCCAGAATGTCTTCAGAAAGGGTGGAGGACCACAACATACTGATGGACCTCCACAAGAAGTCCGTTCACCTGATAGAAAACGCATGGGTTCTCGACATGGAAGTGATGAGGTTGTCAAGGGTGCAACCGAAGAAGAAAGATTGGGACTCGTCAAAGGCGATACGAGAACACAAAGTCCATCGGGTACTTCTAGTACTCCTTCTTTCGATGAGTATCTTGAAGAATTAGAACCGTGGAGTTCGGAAACCAAGGGATTTAGAAGAAATCGTTCTCCTCCCAGAAGAGATCCTGCGTTGGGTGAAAAGGGTTCGTTTCTCTAGGGGATACAGGGATGGATGGACATATGGGATATGATGGAATGATATGATTCATGTGGAGTTTTGGCGTTTGCGAATACCTAAGAAAGTTTTCCTTCCTGGCATTATTATTTGTTTGGTTGATCGATTGATCGATTGATTGATTGGATGGTTGGATGGGTGGTTGGTTGGGTAGGTGGATTATTATTACTGCAAGTGTATTATCACAAGCTTTGTATATGGAAGAAAAATGGGGTGGGGTTTGCCTAGAAGGCGATTTGAATTAAGAAAGATGATAGAAGATAGATAGGATTATTCGGGAAAGTGATTAGGAGGTGGAGGAAAGACCTTTGATACCTCCTACCTAGAAATTATTAGGGACTCGGTTGTAATTATACACAGAGACCTACCTTCTTCTTAACTATGATTGATTTCTATCTGTCTATCTCTTCATGAATGGGGAGATTATGTGATGGGATTCTGTGGATTGAATTCGTGTGTGTGTGTGTGTGTGTGTGTGAATTTTTGGGGTGCATGGAGATATCGAATTAGTGTTTTGAGAATTGAGAAGCATTAAACAGTATTTCTTCTTCTTCTCAAAGAGAAAGAGAAGAGAGGAGAGAGAGAGAGAAGAGAGAGAGAGAGAAAAGTAATCTTTCTACCTGTTTCTTTTCTATTTCTCTTCTACCTAACCTAGTCATACGGTAGATTATTCTTGAATCTTCATTGTCTTGCTTGTTGCTAGTTTTGTGGGGAGGGAGGGAGTGAGTGGGCACATGAATGAATGAATGAATAAAAGTTTCGCTTGCTCGGTATAGGTAAATAGGTGGGTAGGTAGGTGAGTATGAAGTGAATCATGATGTTTGGATATCCCTAAGCTTGGGATGGTTGGGTAGTTGTGTATCGTTGGGTGGTGGTGATGCTTTATTAGGGGGATTCTTTTTCTTTTTTTTCTTTCTTTTTTTTTTGTGCATTTGAAGAGGGGGGGGGTGAGGGGAGATGTTTGAAAGAGGGGGTTTGTCGGAGTTGGGAGAGAGGAGAGATTTGAGGGGAGAAGTTTGAGGGGTGGGACAGTTGGCGGGGGATGATAATGAATTATCGTTATTGTTTCTTGTTGTGGGTTTGTGGGCTATGGTTGCTGTACCGCTATCGATCGTTCATTATCTATCAACTATCGATTTGGGAAGAAGCAAGAGCAAGGAAAGAGGAGGGGTATGAAAACTCTGAGAAATCTGTTCCTGTTCCAATAATCTCAACTTCATTTCTTCGTTCGAGGATTCGACATCGTTTCGTAATATCTGAATTTTGAGATTGGATATTAGCATTGAAGTTTTGACGCTCTTGTACAGAGTTGATGTTGGGGGGTTTGTCGGCAGATAGCTAGCTAGGTAGTTGTGGTTATTGGAGCTAGATGGGGGAGCGCGGGGGGGAGGGAGTGAGGGAGTGAGGGATGGATTTTGGGGCTTTGGATGTTATATTGTGGGAAGAGTAGCTGGGGATAGTTGGGGATAGCTGAGGATAGTTGGGAATAGTTGGGAATAAAGGAGCTTAATATATAATAATGAATTTTGATTCTGGACTCTTTGTTGTCGGTGTACTGCGAATGGTTTGTGCGTTGTTGTTGTCATTGTCGTTGTCATCTGAATACTCGTGGAGTATTGTCTCTTTTTCAAATGACAACGATAGGTGGTGGATGAGGAGTTCTTGGGGAAAGAGCTTATAAGCATATCTGTATCTACGTAAGATCGCAAGTCTCAGCACGAATTTGGCGACCATGCAAACCGCGGTATCTCAGTATTTTTGCCGCAATTCCATTTTTGTCAAAGTTTGCGTGGATACTTTGGTAGGATTATCGTTTCTTCGATCAGACGGGCGAGGGTTTCTATACGCTGGGAAGTCTCTTGGAGTAGCTAGGTTGCTAGCTCCTCTGTGGAGAGTATAATGGAGTGTGAGTTAGGGGAGAATGGGATTATGAGAGAGAGTAGAGAGTAGAGAGTGAATCCCGAACTCCCCCTATCTAAGTATATAAATGATTTCCCTGCTGCAGTTCACGTAGAAGAATATATTTGCTAGCAGATCTCTGTAAATCTTGGTAGAAGCGAGCTCAAAATGAATTATTAAGCGAATTGATTTACTAAGAGCAACTTGATTATATAAATTCGCAGTCTCGGGACAATTCGGGTGTCATTCGGGTCTCTGGTCTTTGGTCTGATGAAACTGAGGAGGTCGCTCGACCTTTGAGTTTGGTTCGCGGGAGTCGAGATACCCATGATGGGTAGGTGTATTTATGGATGTTTTCTTTTTCTCCTGGAGGTCGTTCATTCGTTCATTCGTTCTTTTTTTCGCGCTTTGCGCTTTTTGATTGAGGATTCGCCATTTTAGAAGTGGATGTTAGGGATGGGAGGATTGGATGGGCTGATATGATGAAGGTTCATCGTGCGAGTTAATTTGAATCATCAAAATCTTGTGCTCGAATTTGGTATGAGTGATGTTCATTGTGTTGAATGACTTGATGGATTGACTCTTAGCGAGAGACATCGAGTCATTGACAATGAACAAAAACTGTGATTCTAACGATCATGTGTATTAGTGTCAAATTTGTGCTCTTAAGTTTCGAGGTTTCCTGAAAACGAGGAAGAGAGTAGAAGCACAAATAAGAATCATTCTAAAGTCCCAAACCTCGCTTCACAATTCACCTGCTTCTTAAACATATCTACATAACAACAACTCATTTCAAAATGGGCCTTCTCCAGGAGAATCAAGATCCTCCTTCTACTTCTCCACAAGTTTCAAATCGTGAAAAACTTGCCTCCGGATACATCAGACCTCATAGCACCGACTCAGTCCGAACAACAACCTCTTCACCACCCACCATCCAGCCCGTAGATCTGGTGACCTACACTCTATCCTTCCAAAGCACCAAAGCGCACCACGGATTCGATGCAAATAAATACACTCTATCTGATGACATCTCTCAGTATTCATCAACGCTTTCCCTTCAGAGCGTTGATAAGAAAGCATTTAGAGAGAGAACCGAAAAATGGATTGAGGGGGTTGAGCGTGGGGAATGGGAGACGAGGAGGTCAGAAGGGTTGGGAGTTGGAAAGGGAAGGGTAGATGAAGGAGTTTCTCATAGTAAAAGACGTAAGAGATATAGAGAAGGGAGGGGTATGGTGGGTGATGATGATGATGATGTACGTGGAAAGAAAAGTCGAGTGGGAGAGCGAGAGGATGGAGATAGTGGGATGTGTAAGGGTCGTGAGGTTTGCGAGAGGGGGATAATGAAGGATTTGGGAAGAAGGTCTTTTTGTGAGGAGCGAGAATGATGAGACTTGAAGGTTTAGGTGTAATATTTAGAGCGAATTGAATGAGTGGAAGTTTGTTGTCTGTGTGTGGTTTGGATATGATGGATAAGCGCACATATACAATTTTTAAGACTGGGATTTTCTTAGCTGTTATGTTGTGCTATAGTATTGTAATCTAATATCATCGATGCTTCTTGGACTGTTTTTCTATGTCTGGTTTCAAAATCGTTCGTGTGTGGCTACATTAAAGATTGTTTTTTATTATACAAAGTTATTTCAAATGAAATTCGAGACAACTTTCTGGAAAGCTCCATGGAACCCCCCCTTTCTACTGAGGCCTACTGAGCTTCCCTAAATCTCCCATCTGAAAAACTACTCTACTAAAAATACGATGAAAACACATCTCTCTCCTTTAACGATATGTCATCTCAAACTTCACATTTTCTCCCCACCGAATGTACTTCACCCTAGAGTCCCCGCTGCCACGGCCAAACTTCCTCCCTAGATTTCCACTCCCGAATCGCCCTCGGCACTTTCTTCCATTCTCCCCACCACCACCTCCAATCCTCCGCTGTCGGTGCACGACACTGCGGAAACCACGTACAGCCATCTCTCCAAGATTTCCCAGCTCTCGGATCTTTTCCAACCATTGAATTCCTGCTCGTCGCAACCTCATCCTCTTCAACCGCCCACAAATACTCCCACTCTCCAAACAAATACGGTCTCTTCTCTCCATCCTCTGGAACCGTATATTTCTCATCAATAAATCCCATGATCATCCAATCATCTACTCGTTGATTCGGTCCTTCAGACTGTAGAAGTAAAGTTTTGGCGCAGTCGATGAAGGATTTTGCTGCGTTGTCGTATGGGTTCCGACGGTCTGGGGTGAGCTCCTCGTAGGAAGTTGTGGAAGTGTGTTTGCTTCCGTGAATTGAAGTGATCCGACTCATGAGTTTTTTGGCGAGTAAGATTTTGGTCTTGTGGAATCCTTTGTGCGGGTTTCGGCCGGTGAGACTGGTGGTTTGGTTGAGGTTACTAACGGAGGTATTGTTACGGGGGTTTTGCAGAGGGAAAGTGAACGGGGTTGGGTGGTGCGATTGTGTCTCCGAATGCTTGGGCCCATGTTGTGGACCAGCGAGCGGACCACCAGGTTGAGGAATGTGTTGCTTCATTGTTGGATTGGGGGTTGGCTTCTGCTATCATAGTTTGTTCAATCTGGTACGGCTCATAAACAGGGAGAGTTTGTTCTTGGGACCATTGAGAAACTACCCTCGTGACAGATTTTTGACTTCCTACGTCGGCAAAGTATGCTTGGCTGGGTGGTGAGACAGTCACTTCTGATGCGCATCCGTCGGCCCATCTACTAGAGGCTCTTGCTGCTTCGTTGCAAACATCATAGTTTGTGTCTTTGAGGTCATCGAGATGGAGATCAACGAACTTGTCTGGTCCAGTGAGGTAAGACCCGGATGGTGTGTACGAGGGAGGTTGTTCTTTAGACCAGTTAGGTTCTTTAAGGTCTGTGACATTATCGATGGGTGGTGGAGCTAGTACTGAGCCAAACATCTTGGATGGTTGATCTGTGTTTTGTATGTTGATGAAATGGCAATGTGTATTGTATGTAAAGACGAAAAGTTATCGGCGTTCATATATTGTTTCCTCAAGATTTGAGGAATGACAACAGGGAAATTATATAATACCATGTTAATGAGCACCATGATTCCTCTTGTTTCATTCCCGTTATATGACTGGATTCGTTGATGTCAACTATATGACTTATTCGAAACTTCCAAGTTCGAGTCAAAAACATTGTGAAATAATCATCTAGAAATCAAGTCCATGAATATTTGCAAATCAAGTTCGGATGACAACATATGATTGAAGAGAAATAAAATTGTTACTAAATACAGAGGATATGAAACTACCCCTAAACATACTACCCACAGAGCATTATCAAGTATGCACCCCCTTCCCCCCTTTCCTGTCTGAAACATAAAATATTTCCAGCTTTCAACAATACATCTCGAAGTTCTTCTACTAATTATTAACCTCTTTTGCACCACTTAGATCTAATATTCTTCTCTTCCACGCCTGGTATAATTTGACTTTATTTGCTTCTGAAGATCCAATATTTAACTTATGTTTTTCCTTTGTGGTACTTGCGTCAATTTCCTTCGACTCCAAGTCATGACATTGAATCTCGTTCTTGTTGTCTTCTCCCACTGCGATGGTGTTCTCGGAATAGTCATGACTCTGCTCCGCACTAGCCCGTGGAGCCAGATTGAGAGTAGATGAGTTTTTGGGTGCGGGTAAAGGTGAGTTAGAATCATGGGTGGGAACTGGAGGCCTAGGTTTGGTTTCGGTTGCTCCTTTGGTTGCTTCTTTGATGTGGATGATGGCTTTCTCCTCAATTTCCGCCTTGGGTGGCTTTTCGGACAGCTGATTAGAGAAGGTACGAATGTTTGGCTTGTGGAAATGTGCTCGAAAGAGATTGCTAATTTTCATTGATGTCCTTTGTGCAATGATGTAGGTCTTGAGGGGTTGGTATTCTTGAACTGAATTCCTTTTTACAACGTTTTCGATCCTCTGGACCCGTGTAGTTTCTTCGGTATCTTGTCTTTCAACAATTGGAGGTGAAAAATTATCGAGTCTTTGCATTTTCAACTCTCGAAGTCGAGCAAGATGATGGTCGGGCAGATACATCACAGGGAGACTTGATATTCCATCTTGAAAAACATTGCCAATTGATACCTGAGTATCTGTTGATACACCCACTTGTTGTTGTATAGATTCTTCAGGTGAATGAACTGGAGGTTTTTGCACTTGCTGCATAGGTGGCAAAGTATGTTTTTGTTTATGGTAAAGGAGCGCAGCTTTGTGCAGTTCGAGTTGATCTGGAGCTCCCGAGGGGTGTTTGGAGAAAAGCATTTTGAGTACAAGAATAGTCGAGCAGGCCGCAGGCGATTTCATATAATATCGATTACTTTGGTATGAAGTTTAGATAGATGGATCGTTTTGATTGCTTCAGGAAATGAAGAGAGAAATGAGATTGATCCGTGAATACATTCAGAGATTTATGTAGCGCCCGAAACTGTATTATACTGACTCTACCAGATATTTCGAATCATCAAATCATATTTAACAGGCAAATGTTCCGCTTGGAAATTGAAAGTAATAATACACAGTCAGGAAAATCTTATTTTTGAGTCAATTTTTAGAGATAAGAAAATGAAACTGCAGTGAATAATTATCCACAACTCCTCTCACCCAATTCACAAAGAAGGACAAAGGCACAATAATAATTCATATTGAATCTCAATACCCCTTGAACCGAATCCACACGCGCTCAACGTATATAGCACCTCTTTTCCCAAAAGCCTCAACCTCCCCAAAAATCATGCCTCAATTACCAAGCAACATGCTCTCACAAATAACTCCCAGAAGTACAACAATCTCCTTTCCATAAGTTAGCAATGGAGCCTCTATATCAGATATATAAAACGTACCTAAATAATTGCAGGGTTTGAATCTCTTACTTTTGAGGTGGTTCGGGTCCCAGCACACTTTTGATCTGTTGCATAGTTGTAGGAGGAGGAGAGGTAGTAGCTAAGTCCTCTTGGTTAAAAGTGTCGACACGCTTTGGACCTGCCGGTTCTCGTAGGCCGAGACTGCTGAAGGAGGTATATGCTAGTTGAGGAGGAGCTCTTGAATGTTTGGCGCCATTTGTTGATTTGCGATCTAGTAATTGTGTTGTAGTTCTTGCTTCGGTATTTGGGTCCATGGCTTTTGGGGGAGGCGGGTTTGGATTTGAGGACATTGGCGAAGGAGTGTCGAGTAAGAGGATTTGGAGGCTCATAAGTGAGTCTGTGGTTGGACTATGCATAACTTCACTCGTAAGGCTTTAAGTAACAGATGGCTAGCTGGTGTATAGAAAGGTTGCAGCACTTGATTATACATAGAAGAATTGGGTTTAGAAGTTTTGTTTGTCTTCAGTTGAGCAAATATGTAGTACAATATGCCTGCAGAGTCGAATTCGGGGCCAAAAATGGTCTAGCACAGAAAAGGGACTCCAAATCTGAATGGTCCATTGTTGTCATCATTGCATTGAATAACAATTATCAGCCCATTTGGCTGTGAATGAATACTTTTTCTATTTGGGTGATCAGACAAGAGTGAAAGTTACTCAAATTCATGCGCAAGCCTCGATGCCTTTGCGTTCACCAGATAACTATTAACTCTATCTTTGTGGACACGTGTAAATTTGAAGCAAAATATGAAATTTGGATAGGGTATCTCGGTTGTAAGTTATTCTCGATCTGTGTACGCTAGTAGATTGACTTTTCCTTTCGAACCCGACTGGAACCCAAACCTAGACTGTTTCCCACACCAATGTCTTGACAAAGCAATCGAATCTAGCATGAATTTCTATCATAGTGCCCCAAATCATAGAACCAGAGAATAAACTCGTCAGAAGGCTGCCCCTTACCCGTCGATAAATATCCCTTTCTGACGATCTCCAAATCCTACAATACCTTTTTATCGATCCACTCCATGCCCATCCCCATCTTCGCAGCCTTTTCCTTGTAACGACGCGTGAGGGCTCGTGTAGCTCGAGGAAAGTTATACGAGTTCGAAGTCATAAGATTCGAGGCCGGGGCGATAGTTGTAGAAGTACGGCGTTCGGGTTCTGCGTTGCTAAGGAACATAATTACTGCTATGAAAATCGGGAAGTTTGACGGAGGATCGTTGGCTTGAGGATACTTAAGTACCCGTGAAGAATTTCTAAGGGACTCCATTGAAGTGGACATTTCTCGTGCTATCTAGATCATATAAGTGTAATATAAGTCGGGTATTGCTCATTGTGATTCAAATATCGTTTTTGTATAACTTAATAAAGGAGTGTTTCAACTACGTATTTTGGTACCATCAAGCAACAATTCGAAAGCAAACGAATGTGTCAGACAATCACTGTTCTCAGGACGTGTCCAGGATTTTCAGGAGCCAGGGTTGCATCTTGGCATTCAGAAGCTTTCAATCTCTGAAATCAATCCGACCATTCAAATTGTTTTGAGGCATTGGATCTATTCTAACTACTGGACTACTTTCAAAGGTCAAAAGCTTATATCAGTCTCTCAGTCCAGATAATGGAACGTCTTGTCTCCAATTATCATTATGCGTGCCTCCAACGAGCTCCAGCTTGCCACGCTCCGTATCTGAGCTTGTCCAATTCAATCTGGACCTTTCGAGAACCGCAAAAATCGATGACAGCATTGTCATATGATTCATCGAACCATTCCAACCCTTCGCATTGATATGAATTTGTGAGTTTGTTGAAAGTTCCATGAAAATTCTCGAAGTTTTTTATTTGGTTGCGAATCAATTGCTCAATCAATCTATGCTTTGCATCCTGCAAGTCATTCTTCATCAATAAGCTCGCACATGACACAGGAATGGGTTGCGTCTTGTCATTCTTGTTGTTGTCCTTGTCGTTGTTGTTGATACGTGCGGAGAATTCTTGAAGCCTTATAACGTATGGAGAATACGGAATGTTTAAACACTCTTTGAACTTCTTCTCATGGCCATACCATAATACCTCTTTAACTAGAGCTGGTAGTGGTGGATTCTCTGAGCAAGCAGTTTGCGTGGAAAGCGATAATGTCATCACGGGTGGAATTCGCGGATCTTCGTCAGGCACCGAATCTTTTAATAACATCAAATACTTCTCGGACGCTAACCAAGCCTCTGATCCAACCATTGAAATGTTGCCTGGAACTGGACAGTAGTCGGACATCAAAAGGTTGATAGGTTTTAAGACAATGTAGTTTCGTCAGCTAATGAGGAATTCTTCCAGGATACGGAGACCAAAGCGTCGGTACGAAAAATTGTGTAGTGAGTATTTACAATATTGTTGTGTGCTCAGTTGGTTTGAAAAATGCTGGAGCGTTGCAAGAAATTTTTGTTGAAGTTCAGGTGTGAGGAAAAAACACCGCCAAAGAGGATGTTTATACATAAAATTCGAACAGAGAATATGATTCAGAGATAATTTTTTGGGAAATATGACTCCAAGAGAGGAAGATATGAATAATCACTAGAATTATCATTGCACCACCATCTCCTCATGATATCACTACCCCTCACGAGATTCGGTGCACTTCGAAGTTGTGGCTGCGTCATTTGAACCACATAGTCCCACGCATTAAAATAATCAATCACATCCTTTTGCGATAGATGTTTCCCATTATGACCTCGCTTATAGACTCGAACAAAAAATGAGATTTCCTGGTTGACAATCGTCGAAATCTCGATATTCTTCATGCGCTGGAGGTTGTAATCTCCCTTCGACCGATTCATATTTTCACAAGGAGCATCAACTCCGAGTTTGATGAGGTGTATCTGTACGGGCAATGTATGATCTTGCATATGGTAAAGTTCATATAACCTCAGGCGATGTCTGAAAATGAGGATTTTAAGAGTACTATTGTAATTGGAGAATTTTTTAACCAGTCTCGATTTCAAGTAATCCAGCATATGAAAATGTGGTGTAGATATGGAGTGAATACCATCAACGCTCGAGTATGCTGGAGGTGCTTCTTCCATGGATGGACTGATCGAGCTTCCCTCCGAAGACATGGCTATAGTCCTCTTTTACTGTAGATTTTAGGATTTTCATAAAGCTGACGAATACAAATAAACATGAATTTTGAATATTGCTGTTTTTGGAAAGTCTTGCGAAGAAAGTTGGGAGTATTATGACTTGATCGAAATGAGAAGAATCATGTGCACAAACTGACGGAGCAAAACTGCTTTGATAGGAACAGAAGAGACCAAAGATACAATTGAATATTGATGCGATCCGTTTGCAAACCTAGTTCATATAAATAACATGAAATGATGAATGGTTCAGAGCGGTATGTGTTTTGTAAACTACAACGCGACGTGAGCATCACTTGATATACACCTCCAGTCATACAAAACGGTTTACACGATGGCTGCTTTTACAGTCTCGGGAAATATGTCGAGGCTGCAAGTACTAGTCATCAGACCAACAGATCTATCACAAACATAGTAACAGTACGATTACCGACTTGGTCATCTAAAATAACCACTTTGGTATCATCGGCATCGGGCCATGCAAGTTTATGATGTATGGCTTTCAGCTTGAAGTTGTCAGACCATGTTCTGCGAGCACCAACATCATATTGAGCACCATGAAAACTCACAAGCTGTGGAAAGGAGGTTGCTGCAGAAGGCAATCATCTCCACAACAAAGCCAAAAGACAATATTGGCTCTCATGAGACAAGCATGTGTCTACAAGCATCATTCTAGATACCCATGACCTTAGGGCTCTAAAAATGATTTGGGATAAAATCCGGAGAATGCGCTCCACATATCGACAGGAACCAAAGCTTTTGTGCTGATTTGAGTACAATACTATTGTCTCCAGAAGTTGCCATCACTACACACGGAGATTCCCCGAGTGAGATAAGATAGATAGATTCGGGTGCAAATGTAATCAATGTTATGTGACTTAAGCCATTGAAATTGGATAGAGATTGATGTACCAATAGCCACAAACTTATCTTTCATTGACATGATTTTTGATCCACGCTCTAGGAATAGCAATTCACATTGATATCGGATTTCGCAACTCACCGCCCAATAGCGGTGAGCAAACGCGGGATTTAATGCTGGTAATATACATTACCCCAACCCAAATTTTTCATCCTCCTCAATACCCCGCAATCATCAAACACCCCACCATACGACATCATGGAGAAAACTATAGGACTTTTGGGAGGAGGGCAATTGGGGCAGATGCTCTGCGAAGCTGCGAATCCTCTTGGTGTTAAGGTTATTATTCTCGATGCACCAAACTCCCCAGCCAAACAAGTTAATGCTAAGAACGACCATCTCGATGGCTCTTTCATTGATGCTGAGAAAATCCGCGAACTTGCGAAGAAAGTAGATGTTTTAACAGTGGAGATTGAGCATGTGGACACATATGTATTGGAAGAGCTCGCAAACTCTGGAGTGGAAGTGCAACCCAGTGGGTATTCGTTGTGATATTCATCATGAATATGTTGATTCAAGCTTTGAAACAACACTAATATAACTTTAGGCTGGAAGACGTTGCGAGTCATCCAGGACAAGTATTTACAGAAAGAGCACCTCATTAAAGCCGGAGTACAGACCGCGACATCACAAGCGGTAGAGGCTGGAAATCTTGAGGAGTTCGGGCGCACACATGGATACCCATTCATGCTTAAGGCAAGAAAAGACGCCTACGATGGACGAGGTAATTGCCCTGTGAAATCAGAATCCGATATCAAGAATGCCCTTGAAGTGTTAAAGGATAGATCATTATATGCCGAGAAATGGGCGAGCTTCAGAATGGAGCTTGCGGTAATGGTTGTGAAGACAGAAAATGAAGTTTCCAAAGATGGGGACTCTACGATCGCCTACCCGGTCGTCGAAACAATTCACGAAGATAGCATCTGCAAATTAGTTTATGCTCCAGCAAGAGGAATTTCTAGTGACCTCCAAAGGAAAGCACAAGCCTTAGCGCGCAAGGCAGTGGGTAGCCTTTGGGGTAAAGGTGTTTTTGGGGTTGAACTATTTGTTATGGGAGATGGTGAAATACTGGTCAATGAGATTGCTCCTCGCCCTCACAAGTGAGTCATTTGAGGCGTCGTCTCAACAGGCAATTTCAAACGAGTACTAACACAAGCTTACTATAGTTCGGGACATTACACGATTGAAGCATGCCCAACCATGTCTCAATTCAAATCTCAACTTCTTTCAATATTAGGAATCATGCCATCCTTCCCCAACTCAGCTATTCCTTCAATGTTTCCTGCAACGATCATGTTGAACATCCTTGGTGGAGCGTCAAAGGATTCCCACAAGGAGTTAATGCAACAAGCCGCCGCAATCCCCACGGCCAACCTTCACATGTATGGAAAAGAATCCAAGCCAGCCCGCAAAATTGGCCACATCACTGTCATTGGTAGCTCCATGGCTCAAGCCGAGCAACTTATTTCACCCCTAATTACGCTTAACGATAACATGCGCGCCGAACGAAAAGGTCTCCCCAAATCCACATCTACGACAATCTCATCTCCATCTTCACCCCAGAAGCTTGTCGCGATTACTATGGGTTCAGACTCAGATCTCCCCATTCTCAAACCCGGTCTTGCTATCCTTGATTCACTTCAAATTCCATACTTCCTTACTATAACATCTGCGCATCGTACACCACAACTCATGGCAGATTTCGCCCGCGACGCCGCTTCCAATGGCTTTAAAGTTATCATTGCTGCTGCAGGCGGAGCGGCACATTTACCTGGTATGATCGCTGCGCAAACCCCTCTTCCAGTCATTGGTGTACCGGTGAAGGGAAGTACATTAGATGGAATGGATAGTCTTCTGAGCATAGTACAAATGCCTAGAGGAGTTCCTGTTGCAACTGTTGCTATTAACAACAGCGTCAATGCAGCGTTGTTAGCAGCTAGAATAATCGGAGCTAGTGATAGTGTGGTGTTTGCAAAGATGGAGAACTATATGAAGAAAATGGAAGATGAAGTTGTCGGAAAGAAAGGAAGATTGGAAGAGGTCGGATGGGAGGGATATTAGATTTTGAAGGATGTAGAATCACATTGATACCACGCATTTCAACTATGCATTTCGGAATATATAGTTAAATAAGAATAGACAAATACAATCAGCAACTAAATTTACATTCGCTTGATGGATCTACTTAGTTGGTTCCTATGCTAACTACCCATCAACGCCTGACATCCGAACCAGAAATTTTCGAGGAAGTATAAGGTGAAAAATCACGAGAACTACGTCCTTATTGAGCCATTTCCATTTCACCCACTCCATAGACTTATCCACGAAACTGGGCTCTCAGCGCCATCAATTGTGCCCTATCAGCTGGTGGCAAACTATCAATCAATTCCTGTGGCATAGCCATTACTTGCGCCATCAACGCATCTGCATCTGGTTCGGCTACTTGAGCTGGCGGTGGAGGAGCCTGTCTTTGTTGTGGAGGAGGTGGCGCATAACCTTGTACTGGCGGCGTACCCATCATTGGCAAACCCATTTGGCCTGCCATATGTGGAGGAGGGGGTGGATAACCAGATGGGTATGCCGAACCTCCATATTGAGGAATGGCCGCAACGGGTGGAGGAATGCTTGGGACGGGGGGAGCGGATACTGGTACTGTGATCGATGACTCGATAACAGACGAGAGGGCTTCAGGTTGAACAAGACCCATCAGAAGAAGGGCTTGGAAAACGGCGTAGGATAGTTGGGGAGCTTGATGGAGGAGTTCGGTCGCTTTTTGAGGATCGGTCGAGGCAAGAGTCTTCATTTGGGAGAGGACATCGAGAAGTTGGGATGGAGGGAGAGTATTCAGAGTGCGAGAGATAGCATCAGGGCAGGTGAGGCCTTGGGGCAACTCGATGCCTATTGGTAGAGGCGGCAATGGGGAGGTGTTTGAGGCTTGAGGAATTGGTAGAGATGGAGGTGGAACTGGAAGGCCATTCGTATTGAGAGGGGGAGGTTGATAATTTGGCGCAGACTGGAAAGAAACACAAATTAGCACACTTTCTATGTATATTTGTAAATCGGATTATTGTAGGATAGAAGCTTGACATACATTCTCTTCCTCACCACCATCGTTTGAGAAATCAACGCGCAATTTTCGATTCATAATTTCGTAGTCGTTTAAGTTCCTTACTGCAGAAGCTGCGGAATCTAGATGGACGCGCAAATATTTAGCAGTGTAACCATGGATGGGAAAGTCGCAAACCAAATATGCAGTGTACTGCACGTACCTGAATCGGGATACTCTGCGAAACCGAAGCCTTTGGGTCTACCTGTTTCGCGATCATAGACAAGTCGAAAATTGACAACATTTCCCGCGCTGCTGAAAATATCTATTATCTGCTCCTCGGTAAGACCTTTTCATACGGCATAAATTAGCTTTGATACGGTACAGGAATGATGACCGGTCAAATAGAAAGATGATAAATTACCATAAGGAATATTTCCAACAAATACAGACTTGGAAGGTGGTTTTATTGACATGTTGAAAGAGGCAATGAATGTTCCAGACTATGGAAATATGCGATGGACAGAGTTGAGATGATTTTGTTTGCAAGATTTGACCCTTTAGAAAGGAATGCAAATGGATTGATCACTTCTTTTGTCACTGCAAATTTGAGAAATGGCACAGAAAGTCTTTGAAGAAGTGATTTCTGGCTACTCTAAAACCCTTCTTGTCCTCTTCCTTATGAGCACCGACAATCCAAATCCCTTTTATAATTGCGGAAGGAAAGGTGATTTAATAGTATTGCCTCTGTTTTGAGAAAAATCGATTTTTATGTTGTTTTGAGCAGTATGGAAGGAGCACACGTTCTTGATAGAAATGATAGCAAGGTTTAGTCCATCGCGCTTCACGACTTTCACTATGCTTGGCGTCAAAGCTTGTGTGGAGTGAGGTGCGGCTAAATTAAAAATACGCTAGGACGGTTTTCGTTGATCTGATCATTGAGCTTCACAAATCCCCCTCCGCATCACAATTATACTCCCCTCAAACCCCGCCACAATAATTCGCAGATCGAATTGTGCCCAAACTTTCGAAAGCTGCCATCATGTCGAACAATCCACAAGATGTTTTCAAGAGGCTGCAGAGAATTGCAAGTGAAGCAAGTAGAAATGGTGGCGGAGGACCGGCACCAAAGGGAATAGCAGGTGGAGTGGCTACACTTATTGCACTGGGTGGAATCATGGTCGTTGGAAATAATGCGCTTTTCAACGTCGATGGTGGTCACAGAGCTATCAAGTATACGAGATTAGGTGGTGTTGGCAAGCAAATTTACAGTGAAGGTATGTATTTACTTTTCCTGGGGCGACTATTTCACATAACGTGGTGGCTAACATTACGATTTTGCTTTCCAGGTACACATATCAAGATCCCATGGTTTGAGACTCCTATAGATTATGATGTTCGAGCAAAGCCACGCAATGTCGCCTCCCTTACCGGTACCAAGGATTTACAGATGGTCAACATTACCTGCCGTGTTCTCTCAAGGCCCAGAATCGATGCCCTTCCTCAAATCTACCGAACTTTAGGTACCGACTACGATGAGAGAGTACTACCATCGATTGTGAATGAAGTTTTGAAGAGTGTAGTTGCGCAATTCAACGCCAGTCAGTTGATCACTCAACGTGAGATGGTTGCAAGATTAGTCAGAGAGAATTTGTCGAAGAGAGCAGCTAGGTTTAACATCATGCTCGATGATGTTTCCTTAACAGTATGATATTTTTAAGATATTCTAGAAATGACAAAGATGCTAATGAGTGAATAGCATCTCGCATTCTCTCCCGAGTTTACAGCAGCAGTAGAGGCCAAGCAAGTTGCACAGCAAGAAGCTCAGCGTGCTGCATTCGTAGTTGACAAGGCACGTCAAGAGAAGCAAGCTATGATTGTTAAGGCCCAGGGAGAAGCACGATCTGCGGAGTTGATTGGTGATGCTATCAAGAAGAGTCGATCATATGTCGATTTGAAGAGAATCGAGAATGCTAGAGCAATCGCACAAATCATTCAAGAGGCTGGTGGACGTAACAAGATGTATTTGGACTCGGAGGGATTGGGATTAAATGTCACTGAGGCATTTGAGGATAAAAACAAAAAGGCATAATGAATTGGGATGGTAATGGCGAATTAAATAAACTCTCTCCACTGTACTACAAGCGTATGTAGCATGTATACTATATTTTCTGCAAGGTACAAGGTGTGCCGAACGGGTTTTGGCCCATGGCTATGATTGCATTCTTTGAGCATACACAATACATCTTTCTTTGAGCCGATTCAATCCCCACTATTGGTGGGTAAGAGGTGCAATCGCAATCTCCAAAACGAAAAAATACTCTTCAAAACTTTCAGGTCTTTAGACTTCTATTTCTCGCTTGAAGTCGTTGTCTAGGTATCCGTTAAGATCATTGTAGCATTCAAATTGCTGATCACTTGCATTGACCCCATGTTAGAATTTGAACTTGTCAAATCCTCTCTTTCGGAACACGGATCAAGCCTTGCTCGAAGTACAGGTCGGTCTCGAGGTTGGTTTAGAACGACTCACAACTTTGGGCACGCAATCACAGAGCTCTCGCGTCTTTGGAGGCGAGTCACGTGATATATGTTCATTCAATAATTTGTCTTGGCGCTTGGCGCTTATAGCCAAGACACTCGCACCTTCCTTTTGGATGATAGCTTCCGATAGCATTTTTACGGACCTTCCCCTCAGGTTTAGATTGGCCCAACCTCATGGTTGAGCATTTGGATTGATACGAGTAAACTCAGATGATTCAGCCAATTCAAATTGGTGTGTCCCTGGCCGATCTTCCCAAACAGTTGGAATTACCTTATGGAATCCTGGTATCACGATAAGACCACAGACGAACATTACAGGGGAAAGCTTTCTCCGCACTTTGTGTGACTTTACCGTTGAGTGAACGCATATTGCCTTGTTTAAACTTCGGACGTAAACTGTCAATATGTTTACTGTTATGGAGCTTGGCAGTCCAGCACAACATCATAACTCGAGATAACAAACCAATTAGCGGGGCTCAATTGAATGAATATATAAAAGCTCGGCTTTTCCCCGACAAATTGTGTATCGAAATCACCCTCCTCTTACCGTCCTTCCTCGCAGTCCGCTAGGATACCTGCCCATCATGCTTTTTACGATGAGGAGCTCTTTGTCGTTGGTGGCACTGCTATCCGCAGGGTTAGCTAATGCTACATACACCAATTCTACACCGACATTTACTCCTCAAGCTATGTTGAGTTCTCCTCGTCGAGGGTCGGCAATCCCAAATTCAGATGGAACGCTTGCACTTTACACTGTGGCTACCTACTCATTTGAGGAGCATCACAATTCTCATGAGCTCCGTGTGATGAACCTTGCGAATGGTACATCTTGGCTATTCAGCAACTCTAGTAGCATCAGCAATGCCAATTGGTTAGGCGATGGAAGTAAGATTATTTGGTTCGTTTCGGAAGATGATGGATCCACTAGCTTTGTCGTCGGAGATGCAACGGCACCAAGTGCGGAGTGAGTCTTCTATTACATCCGTCATGTGGTCTTTGGCTATACAAAATGCTGTGCAAACCTCAATACGGATTTCCATTTGTATCTTGACTCAATTCTGACCTTTTTGTAGACCCATCTCAGCAGGTTCTGTTCCTGGAGCAGTAGATAACCTCAAGCTAGTTGACATTGGCGAGGGAACTCTCGGTGTTGCATTCAGTGGCCAAGCTTTACCCAATGGTACTTTGTATAATTCCGAACTCGCTACTACACCTCTTTCGACTGGAAGAGCATATACCACCATTTTCGTGAGGCATTGGGACACTTGTGAGGAACTCCCAAGACTCTCTTTGAAAACCAGCACTAACATAATAAAGACATCACACCTCAGAGAAACAGTATCTGGTACGCGGCTTTGTCAACCACGGGCAGTAACTATACCCTCAGTGAACCAATTAATGTTTTGAATGGATCTGGACTCGAATCGCCCGTCCCACCATTCGGTGCTACAAACAGGCATGTGAATGACGTCATGTTACTTTCTAGGAAAATTTCTAACTTTGAACAGCTTTGACATTGGTAGCAAAGGTTTATCTTTCATTGCGAAGGACATTACTTTGAACCAAGCTACCACAACTAAGTCTGATGTTTACTATGTGCCATTGACGACATTTACCGAAACCTCTCCCGAATTGAAAGTGGTTTCCACTCCCAAGCTCGAAGGCGCTTCGGACGCTGTAGTCTTTTCACCCTCTGGATCTTCACTTGCTTTCGTTCGTATGGCACATATCGCCTACGAAAGTGACAAGAACCGTGTTCTGCAAGTAGCAGACGTCACTTCCGATTTGACTGCCACTGAATTCTTTGCCTCAGAAGATGGAAAGGGAGCTTGGGATCGTAGCCCAACTACACTCCTTTACAGTCAAGATGGAGAGTCTATTCACGCAGTAGCCGAAGATTTCGCTAGAGTTAGACTATTCACATTTTCTTCGGATCCTGCAAACACAACCCTCCCATCCATTATCTACAAAGATGGCGGTGTAACAGATCTTCACCCGCAAGGAAAAGACAAGTTACTTGTCAGCAGTTCAAGCTTTCTCGATAACTCAGTCTTCTCTTCCGTTGACCCCAGTGTTTCAGCTGCCACCAATGCATCATCTGGTGTTACCACCATCTCAGCCAATCTCAACAGTCTCAAGGCGTACGGAATTTCTCGTGATTTCATTTCCGATGTTTTCTACCAAGGCGATGGAGACTACCTAGTCCACGCTTGGGTCATTAAACCAAGTACATTTGTTGAAGGACAAAAATACCCACTAGCATTCTATATCCACGGTGGACCTCAGGGAGCGACTGAAGATCTTTGGAGTACCCGTTGGAATATGGCCGTGTTCGCCGAACAAGGCTATGTTGTTGTAGCCTTCAACCCCACCGGCAGTACAGGGTTTGGTCAGAATATCACTGACGGAATTCAAAACCAGTGGGGCGGTAGACCATACCAGGATCTCGTCAAAGGTTGGGAATACATCGAAGAGAATCTCCCATTTGTCGACACCGATCGAGCTATCGCTTTGGGTGCTAGTTATGGTGGATACATGGTAAACTGGATTCAAGGCCAACCTCTTGGACGTAAATTCAAGGCTTTGTTCACACATGATGGATGTTTTTCCACTCTTGCCCAATATTCCTCTGAGGAACTTTGGTTCATGCAACATGAATTCAACGGAACACTCTGGGAGAACTTTGACAATTACGCACGTTGGAATCCAGCAAACCACACCGATGCATGGTCAACTCCTCATCTGATTAACCATAATGAGTTAGATTACCGTCTTCCAATCGCGGAAGGTCTTGCTGCATTCAATGTTCTCCAGGCAAAGGGTATTGAGAGTAAATTTTTGAGTTTCCCGGATGAAAACCATTGGGTTTTGAACCAGGAGAATAGTTTGGTGTGGCATAAGACGGTATTAGATTGGTTGAATGAACATGTAGGCTTACCTGCTTATTCGAGCCCAAATGATACCGATTATAGGGCGGTTTTGCAGAGTGGTCCTTGGATTTGAGGCCAATGAAAAGTCACGACAAAGAGATCATTAATAGGGTATTATGATAGGCCAATAAAAATCACATTTTACTTTCGAGCTTTTTTTTCTTTGGTTGCGTAAAGAGTGATGATTTTTGGCAAGTCTCCCGTACAATGTTGCCTCAAGATACTCTAGACTAGCGAGAGAAATCTTTAGTCTCTCTCTCAGGTGATGAAGAGTTTTTTTGTAAAAACACTTAGGCGAATTTGAAAGGGTATGAAGGTCAAGAAACACGTGAGTAGGTTCCCTCTCGTCTGGATGTTCTTTCCCGATTATAGATAGCTCTTTGCTGTCACTTCAAATGGTAGGAACTAGTGCTTGCCCTAATTGATGGGGATAAAGGTAAGAGCCACCTATTTATTTGGTCTCACGATGCTTGGAGTGCTCATGCCATACAATAATTTCATCTCTTCACAGTACCGATTCGATGTTTGCTTGACATTCCATTCCATTCACCCTCATCGGCACACAAACACAAAGTGAATAAACTGTCATCCAATTTTCCCCATTCGGGCCTTAACCTAGAGTTTTTTTACTTTCTTCCCCTTGCAAATCAATTCTTCCCTTCGATATATATTGCTATCGTTCTATCCTAAACATCTGCTGTATTCGATAGGTTCGAGGAGAAAGATAAATTCGAATACCAAAGAAGCTCACCAGAGATCCTTTTTTTTCTCTTATCAAACTCATACTTGGCAATCAGAAACCATGTCTTTCAATCCCGACAAACGAAATGGAAGTCGTGCTAGCTCCTATACTTTTTCTCCAAAGATATCTCAAATACCAGAAGCTCCTTCTCCAGTTCTTCCACCAAACATCCGTAAGTAAATGCCCGCACCATTTCCTGCATATACCACATAAGACATTATCGTGGAACAGAGCTTCATTCTGATCAGATACACCAGATCCAACAACTTTCTGCGCCATTGGTCCTCTTGCCTGCGATCTCGACATTATCTCTCGTCTCCACATTCAAATTGTCAGAGCCACGGGCCGCGATATTTCCCGCGAGGAATTCTATCTCCGTATGGAAGGACGTCCTGCTAGAAGTCCTGCTCCCCTTTCTCCCAACCCAAACAATAATCCATTTTCATCTTCCAATACCAAAATCAACCCTGAATACCAAACATCTGGAAAATGTCGAATGGAAAGTGGCACAACTGTATCTGGCACAACTGCATCTAGAAGTGATGGTCAAAGAAGTGGTGTTAGTGCAATGGACGCAAGAGAGCCAGATCAGAGCTTCAGAGAATTTGTAGCGAGATGTGTGGGTATCACACCGCGGGCTTTATTCATGGGAGTTGGAGCTACAGAGAGAGCAGATAGAAAGGTTGGGAGGGGACCAGGATTGACGCCTAAGGAGGAGGAGGAAAAGGGGGTTTACGAGAAAGTTGATTGGGGAGATGGGATATCTGAGTAGGTGTTCTACGTTTTGTGGAGTCAATTTAAAGCCTCGGTCGGCATACTAATGGAAAGTAGGTTTGATGCGTGGGTCGATATGGTTTGCAAAGAGGTCCTAGCTATGAGAAGAAGACTCGATGCTTCAAGAGGTTTAAATTAAAATTGGCGAACGAATCAGTCGTTCCCTTGGCACACTTCTATTGGTACCAGTTGTTATCATATCTGTGACATCAGTTGCATGGAAAGCGACTGGTGTCTGGAAGTGAATGGCAAATTGTTATCATCGCTCAATCCACCGACTCTACTCACTTATAATAGTACTGAAACTGGGGTGGGAGATGCATATCAAAAGAATGTCGTCTTGCTACAGTTGCCTTCATGCCGAGGATCTCCATACGCGCACAGACTTTGGGCCACTGTACTTTAGAAGATTCTAACTACAACTGCTGGCGAATAGCTTAATAATAATAACAATAATATCAATGATTATCGAGTGTCCTATATGTGATGGGTGAGCGCTGTAAATGAAATTCTTGGCTGGGGAGGATGACGAACTTGCTCAGTATTCCTTGGGCAAAGCTGATAATATATCACCTCTTAACGTTCTATTTCCAGGTTTTAACTTATGTGAGGTTGTGCAGAAGACAAGCCTTCCAGTGGATAGAAGTAGTGAAAGAGATGCTAGATGAGTGATTAAATGAAGTTAGGGAAGAGCTGCGCTCATGTAAAAGTAGTTCAATACAGATGGGTAATTCAGGAGATGGAACACTTGAGTGTAGTCAGCGACGAGTGATTGTGAATGAAAGAACCATAAATTGATTGAAAAGCGCATACGTATAACTACCCAGATACCTATAAAAAACGATTCCCAAACCATGCACACAATACAATCTCCTCACATCCTAACCTCCTCCCCATCACCATTACTCATTCTCATTCGCCCATCCACACCGCCCAACCCAAATACTACCATACCATACCATACCCCACCCTCCCTCTCCTCACCTTTATATACCCCCAATCCCGACAACCCAACATAAGCATTCCACACGCCTCGTGGCGCAGCGGTTAGAATATCTCACTCCCCCGCCGTTTGAGATGTCGCCTTTCTTCCGCATTGTGGTACTTCGATCGTATAGTGCATAGAGTGCGGTTTCGCAAGGCAGTTTCGGACTGTCTTGATCGTACATGTAGACTGGGACTGCAGGCCGTCGCGGCTGAAGTTTTGCTGTTTTTGGTGTGGAGATGGGAGTGAATGGGGTGGATGGAGTGGGGCGTTTTTTAATTTTTGGCGTGGGGGGAAGGGGTTAATTGGGGGTTCTTGATTGGGGGTTTTATGGAGCGGGAAGAGATGGGATGGAAGGGGGGTGAAGGTAAGGTGAAGTGAAGTGAATTGGGATGTTAGAGTGGGTCGCTAGGTTTAAGGGAGGAGAGGTCAAGGTTGTGAGAATGGTAAACTTGGGGGTTCTTTGGATTTAAAGGTAGTTTGTCGAAGAAAAGATAGAGGAATGGGTTCGTTGAAGGCTCTGCGCGAAGTATGTTCTTCTACCGTGAGAGATTTTCTGCTGTTTTGACGCTGTATATGGGATTGTGACTTTTACTGTATCACCAGCTCTGAGAGCGCAAGACTTCTCTCCGCTTACCCGCCCTATTAGTTTGTTTGGTACTGTGTCGCATCTTGTCGCCATCTTAGGGTGAGTTTGGTGTTGAAGTTTCACACCAATAAATATGATACTCACTTGCACTGTTTTTATACCATGACGCATACAGCTTTGAAGCCTGGTCATGATGAACGCGCGCGCATTGTCATCTCTCAAGTGTCGACCCATTTGTTGAGTGAGCATGACTACGGCGCATGTGTCGGTATAATCATACGAAATTAGGAAACTTTACTAAGAAATAGGACTAGAGTTATCCACAGCGCAAGTCTGGAATGGAAATGCATATACAGATGAGTCTAATACAGGATCTTCACTGTACTGCGAGACGAAGTGATCCGTAAAGATGTGTGATGGAGGCGTTGCACTTGTTTGTGGACGTGGAATGACATGGAATTTAAATGTCTTGATGTAGATATGTGCTGCATATGGTACTTGATGTGTTATCTTGGTGCCTAGTTGAGCAGGAAACAACAACATAAAAGGGGGTACAGTAAAGAAACACCAATGTGAAAACTTCAGAAATGAAGATGACGAGATGAGACTTTCTAAGCTTACCAGGATTTTTTTTGAGCCTCATGAGATCTCTCGCAGGATAGTCATTATCTAGTGGTTTAACCTTGGCTTGCTCTTGCTTGAGATCGAAAGGTGTTCTAGGCTGATTCCTTTACTCTTTAGTTAGGAGTTTGACTCTATCTTTGAGTGCGTCGGGTCTAAAATATTCCTCAGCAAGGGAAGCTCAATACACCTCTCAGGTTCTCCGCGAGAGTCGAAGTTGTGGTATATAGTGAGCCAGAAAATCAAATTCAAGTGTCCTTTCTGCTTAGGATCTTTCAAAACTTTTCAGATTAGATCGCCTTCTTTCTATACATTCTTCGATAATATAAGACCCTACTCAGAATTGTTGCCACCCGAGTACTCGTGGAACAGGAATACCGCGAAATTTCTACGTTGTTGCGAATACTGAAGAACAAGTGCTCCATTTCCAACCTTTTCAGTAATGTATACAGTCTTACCAAGTGTTGAAAATCGAGCCATAATGTAAAAAACCGTCCCTCGAGCCTCACTCTAAACGAACATTGCAGGCGCCCCTTTTCAAATTCCAGCGCCAACTTCATGACCTGGTTGATGTCTCTAGGCTAATTGGCAGGCGAGCTCTGACGCCCCTTTCAACAGATGACCTAGCCATATCGATATCTTAAAGCTCTCTTCTCGTCTCTCACATACGATAGGATCGAAATACATCTTTTCAACTAAAACCGAGTGTTCTAAATTTGATATGAAGTAATATAATTCCACATTACGTGTCGATAAATCATGGTGGTCGTCCTGATAGACAACGTAGGGAAGAGAATTAACCTTATAAGAGGTTTTCCGGAAACTAGCAAGTGTTTTCATAGTCTGAAATTACGATGAGCCATTGAACTCGAGGAAGACGCACAGGGATCCAAGTATATACGTGTAAGCTTGAAGATGTTGTTAGGTAAGGGTACTATTTGGAAGACTAGTTTAGATCAGAGAATTAATCTTAGAAGAAGTTTCTTCACGAAATTCTCTCCGCTCAGAGTACTTGAGAATAGGGTTTTGAATAAGATAAATTCTGACCCTGAGTTCTCTCGATCATGTTGCTCTCGGATTACAGAGTTCGAACTTATCCACTGGTGGTTATGATTCATGAGTAAAGTCGTGGAATACAGCAAGGTTAAGATTCTGTTTGAATTATCATCATGAAATATCGAAACGATTCAAGGATCTTATTGGCCTGGGGTGTAATGGAATCTTACAACAGTTACACAAGGGTAAAGTTATTCGCCTGAACCCCATTTCTTGTACAGCTGAAAACTTGTTCCTATCTACCTGTGATATCAACTATCATCTAAATTTCCTTCAAACTTCAATATTGCCGACCTCACTACAACATTGGACGAGTTATTCAACGTTACAAAGTGGATGTTGGGTCCTTGCAGACGATCGGAGATCTTCGAATACTCTGGACAGATATTCTCGAGGAACATCTCCTCCTGAATCCTCAAAATAAGTATTTGAGAATTGCACGACTACGACCACTCGTTTGGGGAATGCCAAGTATCTTTCAGAAAGATTTGTTAGTAGTAATTAGTTTCTCTCATTGTTCCCCATCACACTAATGGTTTGAAAGTGTCAGTCGCTCTAGTAAATACCGTCAACCACGAGAGCTTTCAATCTTGAAAGGGCTAAAAGCCGGTATTGAATTGGGTATTTCCAAAATCTGGACCACGGTAAGATCCAATTCAAGATGGAGTTTTTGGTCTAAGTGAGAAGACTACTGCCAGTTTATTTCATGAGCAATTTGCAACCAATGCAGCCACTATAAGAATCTCGAAATCCGAAGTTGGGTTTGAAATTTGAGAGATTTTGGATGTTCGATATCCTTGGGTGTTGGGCTGCAGTCTAGGCACTCGAACAAATTATTCAGCCTGTAATCAAATCGTCTTTTAGTCACTCGCGATATTGTTATGATGCATTGAATATTTCCATTTTCCGATTCATTCTGAGGCTCCATCTAGGTAGCCAAAGTTTACCACGAAATGAAAGGCCAGAAAGCTTTAAGCGGAACCCATTGAAGAAAGAATGGGACCGTAAGATATCAGATGATGTGAGGCACATCAGGCTCCACCGTTCCATTCATAAAAGAAATCCATAGTCCCATCCATTCGCCCAACTCCATCAAGTCTGATTCAATAAGAGCTTATCCTTGCCAAACAGAAGAAACTGGATCAAGTTCCCACGAACAATCAATCACCAACTCTATCCCTGCCAACTATTCGGAAGAAGACCAGGTACTCTCTCCATTTCCCTCAAGCAAACACCCGCAGCCAAATATCTAAAGCTCTTCAGAGGTTCATCTCGAGCACCTCTTCTCTTTCTCTCATCCAAAGAAACTGCAAAACAAGCAATACTTCGCTCGAGAGCCTCATCCGAATACTCATCATTGACCTTGATAATGCAATTAACGATAAATGCTGCGATTTCGTCATATTTCTCTTTCATGCTGGTGCATAACTCTCGTTGCTTTTTGCTTACAGATCCAACTTTTCCGAGAATATTGCCGACGAATACCTCGCGTTCGCTGATGGGACGAGTTGGATGTTCACTGTACTGATGCATTATGTCTAGCATGTTATTTTCATAACTGTATCTTTGTTAGTTGGATGGTCATAGGAAAGAAAGGGAAGACATGAAAACATGGGTTGTTCAATAGTCCAGACTGGTGGACTGAGTGTAAGGCTTTAATTTTCAGAGGTGATTTAAAACTCGAAACCAATTCAAATTTTCGAAACGTTTGAATGCTCTCAATGAATCGAAAAGTCAAAGCCTCTCATTTTTGAACCACAGTCTGGGCTATTTAACAAATTGTAAACACTTACATTTCCTGAAGTTCGAGGGCATCTTCGCGCAAATGTTGCCATTGAATTCCTTGGGAACGAGATTTAACGAATTCCCACATGTGCTGCATGATATCGGGACTATCATTAGAATGTACGTTTAGCTTTTGAATATCTTCAAAGACTTTTCGCTCGTCGATTGCACGGTAAAGCTTCCCACAAACTTTTTTACTTTCATAGTACTTGACATTCGTGATTTCGTCCTCTTCGTCCATTGCCTCAATTGGAACATACTCTTTCGCGAATTCAAGACGATCATCAGGCCGATGGGAGATTTTAATATGAGGACCTGGAGCCATAAAGTCAGGACGCCAGAGACTACTCTTAGGTACACCTGGGTGATCAAGAATAGGCTAAAAGGTTCCAAATGTTAGTAAAATTCATAGATCAGAGGCAAGAA